ATTACACCAGAAATTTTTTGACCAAAAAATTTTATAGAAGTTTTTTTCTTCGTGCACCTTTGTTTGCAGTTTTCAGGCACCATCGCAAAGTAATTGACGCAATAAAAGGTTTCCAGTGCCATTATATTATGCAATGAGTTTATTTTACCTTCAAATCAAGTTATCAAGAAAGTTATTTTATGTCATAATTTTGCAAAAGTGGAAATAAAAACCTTATTTATAAAAGGTGGCGTCGCCTTAACCTCAATCTACCTGTGCACCTACTCTCAAAACGTAAACAATTATCAAAATATTGCTTGCAATGGATAGATATCGAGTTAACTAGAAGATTAAGTGTGTTTTTCAACCGATTCGAGTATGAATATGGCATTAGATCTGTTTTTTGAAAGTTGGTGCACAGGTTAAAAGTGAGGTTACGCGACGCCACTGCAGGCAACATTAGGTTTGAAGGAGAGGAAAGTGCAGTACTCCCTTCACTCCCACAAATGGGAGCGCGACTGGTGGGAGGAACTGTCCGGGACGCTATATCCCAACCCGTTGACGGTGAATCTTCCAGCGTGGCCTATGATCACCGAACAAGGAACGACGAATCATCCCTCAAGCACAAACCGAAATCCTCTTCAAGTTTTTCCCTCATGTCCACCACAAATCAATCTACGGGAACCATTCATCAACACTCCAGCGATCTCGACGTAAAAATCAACAACATACCAATACCAATCGTACAGTCGGTAAGGATACTCGGCATTCATCTGAACAAAAACTTCAACTTCAAAAAACACTCTCCTGAAGTTCGGAATAAATGCCAAACAACGATCAATTTCATCAAGACTATCGGAAATCGGAGGGACGGTGGAGCAAGGTCAACTCTTTTCAAGGTTCTGAAAACCAATCTGATTCCAAAAATTGTCTTTGGAGTAGATCTCGTCAGCGGTGGCAGCGTATCGAATCCTAAAAGTCTACAACCCGGTGCTTTTCGTTCCAGCCCTGTTGAATCGATTATGGCCGAGTCAGGACAGCTTCCTTTCTCATATCTTTGGATTCAAAATATGACTTCAAAAGCCTGTGATAGCACAACAAATGTATTTCGAGCTGTGCCAACATAAATATCTAAAATCTTCCATAGACGTTTGTTCATGATTGGCTCTGTGGACTCCGGAAGGGTCGGTTTCGGGATATTCTCTGAAACACAAGAACCTCACTTCCAACTACCCGCGATATGCTCAATTTTTTCAGCAGAAGCCATGGCCATCCTCTACGCTACAAATAATTTTGTCAAGACAAACGAAGCCACCGTAGTCTTCACAGATTCTGCCAGCGCACTGGAAGCATTACAGACAGGACAATCACGACCGGCCAAAACAATGGAAGATTCATATGCTTTCGATAGATGGGTAGAAGCCGTTTTTTCATGCATTATTTTCTGTAATTTTCAAGCCACAGGAGTTTCTCAAAATTTTCGATTCGGATGTATGGCATATCATCAGGCACATTTGTCTGCTGCGCAGCGTTGAAACATTGCGTCCCGGGAAGTGTACTGGTATCCAATTTGACATACGTCTTGTCGTCCATCAAAATGCACCGGTTAGGCTTTTGAAGAAGAACGTCATACAAGTTCCGTGACCGTATTTTCGAAGAAGCTTTCTGTGAATCCGTCCATTTGGGTGCTTTTTGCTTCTTGTAGGTTCTGATATTGTTAGGTTTTTTGATTTTCTGCACAGTTCCGACGCTAATGTCCAATTTTTTTTTAGCAATTTCACGAACGGCACACGGTTTAAAGACTGGACTCGGAAAAAATGAGACACACAAAAATGATCACCAAAAATTCATTTTAAATCGGATACTTCTCAAATTTTCAGGGATTAGATAACTATATATTAGCTATGTTTTGGCTCAATTTATTTATTGAATTTCCTCCCCCAAGCTGAATGCTCGTACATTTCTCTTAACACTGCTCATGAGATTTTGGGCGAGGCTTTGCCCATCTTCCTTACACAATTTCTCCCAGTTTTTCCTCAAAGCTTCATCGGTTTTGAATGTTTTTCAACTTCTTCTTCATTATCGCCCAAAACTTTTCGATCGGACAAAGTTCTTGTGTATTTGGCGGGTTCGCCTCCTTCGGGACCACATTAACGCCCTTCGCTTCGTACCAATCCATTACAGGCTTGGCGTAATGGCACGAAGCGAGATCCGGCCAGAACAACGTGGGACCACGGTGAGAGCGGAGGAAGGGCAGCAAGCGCTTCTGCAAGCATTCCTCTCGATAAATCTGCCCGTTTATGGTGCCGGTTGTAACGAACGGCTTGCCTGGCTTGACCAGCCACTCACGGTACAGCTTCCACGCACGCAATTTGGCCACCGTTTTTTGCTTGTCAGTCCGGTTTGGCGCCTTCCTGACCTTAAAAACACGTAGTCCAGCCCGCTTCATGGTCTGCTGGACGAACCACTTCGACAAATTGACCTCTTTGTGGCCACGTCTCGGGTGGAAAGGTTCGGGTTATTCTTAAAGTACTGCCTTATCTTCCGCGCCTTCTCTGGGTATTCCGTTTTCGGTTTTCGGCCGCTTCCAGCGCGCCGCTCGATGGTCTTCGTCTCCTGGAACATCTTCACAACGCGGGACACGGTGGAATGGTGGATTCCAAGCCTATTGCCGATCCATCTGTGCGACTGACCAGGATTATCGATCACCGCGGCCAAGATTTGCTGGCGTAGCTCTTCTTGTTTCGAATGCATCTTGAAAACTACTTGACAGATCGCGATAAAATTTTGCACACATATACAAAACACTCTAAACTAGTACTACCCACGCGATAAAAAGTTACACCCAAAACAAAGTGTCGCATTTTTCCGAGTCCAGTCTTTATGCGATTTCAAAAGTTTTTTTTTTTTTTTTCTTCTTTATTATAGAGATTTTTAGCCTGAGGCTAGTTCATCTCTTAGATTTCAAAAGGCGTACTGCTACCAGCTCCTCCTTTTTCTGGTCCGATGCACCCTTTTGCGCCCAGATTTCGGTAAATCTTCATGAGAACATGTTTCTCCAAACTTCTTAACAATCTTGAACACTGTAGATTTACTGCACTTCACGTTTTTTGCCAATTCTCGAAAGGACAACTTTTCGGAAAACCATTTGTGCAGAATTAATCTGCGAGTTGAAAAGGTGATCCGACCAAAATTTCTCACTTTTATTTTTTATTTTTCAGGTGTGTTGTCAAAATAAACAATGTTTTTACACACTGAGCGAAAATTCACAATTTTTCGTTACGTTTTAACCGTAAATCATCGATAAACAGGTTCTTTAATGAACAATCCTTACAAAAAAGTTACACATTGTGAATTAGGGACTAAATCCATTTTTGAACCGATTCTTAACCTATCGGCCTCAAAATAAAAAAGGGTTCCTAAAATGCCACCCTGCCCAGGATTTTTACAATTTGGCCATTTAGGATACAAATGGACACTTCCAAAACCTCATGTACGTTCGACGGCTCAAAATTTGTGATTTACCATCCAGAAGTAAATAGACACCATGCCATGTACCAACAGGTGTATCTAACCACATCTCCATACCCGGAACTGGTTCCGGCATGGCCTCAACACTTCGAAAACCCCATGTACTGGTACCGTCCGACGCTTCAAAATGTATGATTTTTCATCTGGAAGTAAATAGACATCATGCCACGAACACACAGGTCACATCCGGATACTCCGAACCATTTCTGGTAGGGCCCCAAAAAGGACACATCCACTTCTTTACCTCATCGGAACCGGTGTCAGGTAACCTAAATTGCCAAATTTGAGAAATCCTGGGCAAGGTGCCATTCTAGGAACCTTCATCTTTCATTTGAGGCCAATAGATCAAGAATCGGTTCAAACAAGGATTTTTGGAAGCGAGTTTCAGTTAGGGTCTTTTTTGACCCGCTAATGCACAATGTGTAACTTTTTCCTAATGCATTAGAAAGGTTAAGGCAAACCGTCATTTGGAATTCACTTCTTAGATTGGTCGAGATTTCACCGATTATCACTGATCAAACGCACTCTATTGGAAATTGCTATTAAGTTTAATGTTTGGTCTCCATATTAGTTCTTCTGGAGCGTTCCAATCGAACATTTTCATCAAAGATTCTTAATGCTGGCTTTATGAAACCTGCCGTTGCGTGATCCGGTTGATTTATCACCATACCCAAACCGATGCATGTTGAGGACTTACGTGTGTGTTATTAAATATTGCCAACCACGATTTCTTCGGACAGCATATCGATACCATGTGCCATTGACTGCGATAGAATAAATTTCGAGGTCCATTTAGAAGATTACAATATTATTTTAATTTTGTTTATCAATAGGTTTGCATTTTATTATTGTTGAAATTTTATTCATTTAGGCAACTCACAAAATGAATGGAATTAAATAATAATTGTGATTAGTCATACACATATTTTTCCCCTCTTTCGACCCTACCACCGTCTAACACCACTATTCGCTACCACGTTGTCCGCTACCGGCCCCACCACTACCCAGTCATACGTCATGGTCTATTTAATTCTGCGGCATTCGCCACCGAGCACCGGAATGTCCATTGCATATCATAGATGGCAAAATTTATCCAGAGTACGTGACGTGAGTTTATCATCGCGAGAATCCCCTAAACGTGCCTAATGCACCCGGTGTTCGCACCGGCCTCAACCATTATTTAGGCAAACATTGGCATTTTCATTTCACACCAATTTGCAAACCCAGTGACTTTAATGGCCTTCTGATTCAATGACAATAAAACATCGGGCGACCGCAAGCGGTCAAACTCATAAAAATAAACAACAAAACAATCCCCAATTTCCAGAAGCACAACAAAATCTATGAAACCAAAACAATAAACCTGTCAAATTACGCCTGCAACACGTAACCCGATAGCCGTGTGTTGCACGACTTCCACCGGAGAAACGTCAAAACAGTGAGGATATTAAGTGGCGACATGATAAAAAAAAATGCAAAATACCACAAACCTGATTCTGTACATTGATGACCAGCTGAGTTATCCCATGGCCAATCTGCACCAGGAGACAGATAAAACCTATCACTAGTTTTCTGCTTATACACGATTTGAAATACATTTCTCCAAATACTGGATGCTACACTGCACTGGCACTGTACACCATTGAGACTAGATGGGAATAGAAAATGGGGAGCGCACTGGGAAAGCCTCTTTCGGCGAATTTTCCTCTCGACAATTTCCTCTATTTACAGTTGACACTCGGTAGAATTTTCCTTCAATTTATCACGTAAAAACCAAAGGAAGAGGAACCCTTTCCTGGCAGATGTAATCTTGCTGCAGCATCCGAATCGAATTTCTTCGTAATCACTCAAACTGAACACCAAACCGGAGTAATAAAATACACAAACACTACATACATTGTCTTTAGGTGTTGTGAGAAAGAGCACAACCAAGATTTTCCGTGCCTTCGAAGGCCACCGACGACCGATCGTGCCGACGAATACCGCGGAACTGATTGAACTGGCGACGAGTATTCAGTCAATGAACGAGATGTGCGGTGTATCGCTGGAGGAAGTTGTTGCCGATGGGTTTGTTTGTATTATGAGGAATGTTGCAATCAGGCTGTGCAACACGCATGCGTCTCTGGACAGTGCTGCCTCTGGCGGGAAATGGGGATCGGATGGAGTGGTCGATCTGCTTTACCGGTCGGTGGTTGAGATGATTAATTGTTTTAAGATGTATAAAAACGTGGGACTAATTGTTTGTCTTGTTTAACTTTGTTTAAACCAATAATTTTATCGTGCATGATTATGAGCATTGCCGTTCTCCTTTGCCATAGAGTAGCGATCAATTCATTTTAATTTATTTCTGATCAACACAACACTATTCTAATCATATGTATTTCCGTTCATCATTTTTTATTTGTTGAATGTTCATTCAACTATTTAGCTAGTTAGTCAGCTAAAAACAATATAAATTGTACTTGGAATTCTATAGAAAATCTTCTCAGAATTTATTTGAAAGTTTACCCTCAAAGTTTGATTCCCTTGGGTTTCATCAATTTATCGGCTTGCAGTCATCCAGCAATTTAACAATCACATATTGGCCGATCGCAATGAAAATGTTCTCATCTTCTATATGCTTCCATAAGTTCTCTCAATTCTAACAAGATATTAGAACACTCATGACCTACTAACTTCAAGAATGATCTTGATCCTGTACCGCGATTTTTTTTAAAGATCTCAGCGAAACAAAGTTCCCAAAACTTCCAGTCAATTTCCAAATCAAAGCTTGCAGTTCTGAAGAACATGCATAACTTCTACAATACTCGATGAGCTACTATGAAGTTCCTTGAACTTGTACAAAGTTTGCTGAGCTTCTTCAATTTTGAGAGAATTAAAAAAATACCAGCATTTCTATGAATTTTAACGAAGTTCCTGGAATTTCTACGTACCGCGTATAAATTATATGAAGCTGCGTTTCTTCAAAGTGCCCTAATGTTCTTCAAAATAATCAGAATTTTTACGGAATTTCAAATGATATTTTAAGTCCATTAAACTTTTCAGAACACTGAAGGTAAATGAACTTTTATGAGGTTTTATTCAACGAAGTTTCCCAAACTTTTATAAGATCCCCAGTTGTATGAAGCTATTCCGAATTTTTACAAAGCAGTGTCAATCTAACTCTTCAAAGGTTGAAACTCTCGTTTGCTCCCGGGCCAGACGGCATTCCTGCACCCGTTCTGAAGCTGTGTTCGGACTCGTTGCTCACTCCCTTGGTGAAGTTATTAAATCTGTCACTACAGGAGAGTACTGAGGCGTGGAAATTGTCGCATGTATTCCCTGTCCACAAGAAAGGCAATAAAATGAATGTCCAGAAGTGATGAGGCATCACATCACTATGTTGCTGCTCCAAAGTATTCGAGATCATCATCAATGAGACGCTCTTCAGCTTTTGTAAAAATTACATCTCCACGGATCAGCATGGATTCTACCCAAAACGGTCAGTTACAACCAATTTGACCGAATTGGACCATGGACTCTAGCGGACAAAAAGACGCTGTTAACACTGATCTCAAGGCTGCATTTGACCGAGTAGACCTCAACATTATTTTGAGCAAGCTTGAGAAACTCGGAGTGTCTGGATCCTTCATCTCGTGGTTCATATCTTACTTTAGAAACCGTTCACTTTGCGGTAAGATTGGCGCTTCTCGTTCACGAACGTTTCCGGCGTTCCCTAAGGAAGTAATCTGGGACTCCTTCTGGTTTCACTTTTTGTCAACGAGCTTTCGTGTCTACTGCCACCTGGATGCCGGCTATGCTACGCTATTGTACGTTATCAATTACATCCAGCGAGATTAATTCCCCCGAATTACTTCGACAGCTTTTCTTTTACGCACCTGACAGAGTGATTAGACAGCAAAATTTTATACATCTCGCAGCTCGTAATCGGCAATATGGGTTGAATGAACCTATCAGTGCCGTCACTAATGCGTTTACCCAATGACGTCTATGCATTGTTTGACTTTAATGTGCCTTTAACTGCGTTCATTAGAAGACTGTCCTGAATTATAACGTGTCCTGTTTTTGTTTTAATTATACTTTTTTAATTCATTAAGGCAACCATATGTCAGATGAATCATTGAAATAATAAATAAATAAATAAATAACTACATAAATAAATAAATATATTTGCTGAATTTCGAAAAAGTCCTCTGCTGAACATCCTCATTAAGATTAAAGAAAAGTCACTGAACATAAGCATAGTTCCTTCTTATTAATAACTTTATAATTGAGATTTTTAGCACTTGGCTATTTTTTTCATTTTAACGCTCTTGGGTCAATCGTAACTTGCCTGGGGTAAGATTTGAACTCATGACATTGGCGTGAGAGGTATGGATTCTAATCACTACGCCGGAATGTTCTTCTCATAGCATAATTCCTTGATTTTCAACAAAATTCGCGAAATTTTTATAAAGTTCGCTAATTTTCCACAATATTCAATGAAGTTCTGCAAATTTATTAACCTCCTAAAAAACATGCTAGAACTCAATAGAATTTCAGGGAAGTTCTATGAAGTTTAATGCAATTCTTAAAAATTTGCACGGTTTTTATAAACTTAGCTGAATTTTCTGAATCGCTGCACTTCCAGAATGTTTACAATACTTCAACACAGTTCAATCAATGTCTACGAAATTTTCATAAATTTGACTATGGTTCTTGAAGGTCTATGAAGTCTATGAATCGATATCCTCATAAAAGTTTGAGCAACTTCGTTGCTGTTCAGAGAATTTTGTGTAATTTGTAAAACTTGACCAATTATTAAGTTGAAAGAACTTAAAAAATCAGGAAATTGAGGAAACATTGTATAACATAAAAAAAAAATGAAACGCAGAAAATCAGTGAAATTTCTTACTAGTACTGCCGAGAGCTTAACAGATGCTCCGGAAAAGGCGAGGAAATATTCAAAACTAGGTTCAATACATAGTATAGCAAAAATGAAAAAAGGACCAGCTAAGTTAGCAAGTTTAATTAGAAACTACGCCGCTAGAGGCACATAAATTTTATATTATTTATGAGGAGTGCTATATATTTCATGATCATGGCCATATGGAATGTTGCCGTCTTGAGCAAACTTGTTCAGGTGACCAAGACGGTGGTCATACTAGTTCAGAACTCTCTAACTCAGTTTACAGATGAACTTCCTCTGTTGGCTGTATCTCAAAATCCTGGCCATATAAAAGGTTACTATCATCACCCAAGTTGTTTAGATGACCAAGTCCTTTCGAATGGTGGTCATACTAGTTCAAACTCTCTCAATTCGTGACGCTAGTGTGCATGCAAACTTCGTGAATATGCTATTTCCGGACAGCCTGCCCATATAAAATGTTGCTGTTCATTGTGAATACTTTCGGAACAGGAGTGACGTGTAGAGACCAAAAATCGATGCTGGACGTCATTTTGGAAACTAAGATGGAGGCCATCTGTTTTAAGAATACTGCCAAATACCCTACATATAATATGGTATTTCCGGAACGGGGACGACGTATAGAGGTCAAGACCAAGATGGCGTCCAACATAAATTTACGTCTTCTACACGTCGTCACGTTCTGGAAATATCCAGGGGGTAGTATGAAGGGTATTTGACAGTTTTTCTAAAACAGATTTGGCGGACATCTGTTTCCAAAATGGCGTCTAGCATCTATTTTTGGCCTCTACACGTCACCCCTGTTCCAACAATACTCACATTGCACAGAAACATACTATACGGAGTAAGCTTCAAGAGTCATTCGCGAAAGAGAAAATCTATGAAGAGAATCGATCAAAAATGATACGCCCTTTTGACGGTAGCTTTTATGTTCTTCCCATGTTGTAGAGAGAAAGACTTTACTCTCACTTTAAGTGCGCGGTAGATTTAAATCTAATCTAATATAAGTTAATACAAACGCAGCCAGTACGAGAAAGCATCCAGGTAAATGATTAGGTTAGATAAGACCTAATCATTTTTCTCGTCAACATTGATGTTTGCAGCAAAGATGATTCTGTGAAAGGATTCGTGGTTAAATAAACCCTGGAGGCACCATATTGGAAGCGGTTCCTAAATCGACACAATCAATAATGTTCGACTATTTTTAAAAATTATTTTTGAAATGTTACTTCTGCAAATATTAGTTTCAGTGCTCTAGGGATGATGGTGTAACAAAGTTTAAAAAAAATATCTTGTCAATATCGAGATTCGATCGAAAATAGACGAGTGCGTCATCATTTGGAACGCTTCAAATCTGGTGCTGGCACCAGTGCTGCAAAATCTCGACAGTACACGGTGATATTGACAATTCAGCTTTGGTCACTCATTTGAGCTAACAGTCATAGTCAAGGCAAACCATGTCAATTGTCAATGACAATGCTGTCAGTGACGAACATGTGTAGATTTTTATATTAACTAAATTTGTAACGAAATTAAATGACTTGAGCAAAACAATTACATGGAGCCATTTTAGTGAACAAGCATCTACATCCTGAACTACTTGGATAACAATAATGTGACACATAATGTACTAGATTACACGATTTGTTACCAGGTGAATCTTTGTCATTGACGAAAAAATGAATGAGATTTTGACGAAGGTTTTTTTGAGGGTCAAGTCTGTCAGTGACTATGTGACGAACAATTTTGTCAATATCGCGCGAAAGTCTGTCAATGACAATGACAAATTTCAGCACTGGCTGGCACGGTATATTTAAACAGCGATCCATTTCGTGAATCTTCAGGGGTGGAAGGATGTATGGACATACCGTGCCAAAGGCTCCGAGTTAGGTTAAGAGTGAATGTAACAGTAATATGTAATGTAATTAATGGTATTTAAAATATAGTGTAATGAAAGTATCTCACCTCTAATGTTAACCAAATTTCCGATTGACGTTGAACGTTAGTTAGCTGTAAGCTTCTGGAACTTGAAACACTGACACTTGACAGTCCTTCCTCAGC